TTAATGAGGCCAGGTGAGGCAGGTAGTTTGGAATATCCCATACTATTTTCCCATACTAAATTCCCATACTATATCCCATACTATTCCATACTAAACTCCACACCTATTCCCACTAGCTCCCACACTATATTCCCATACTATTTTCCCATACTAAACCCATACCTATCCCACACTAGTCTCCACACCATATCCCATACTATTTTCCCCATACTAAATTCTACACTCATCCCACACTAGCTCCACCATATCCCACACTAAACCCACACTCATCCCATACTAGCTCCCATACTATATCCCCACACCATTTTCTCCCATACCAACCCACACCTATCCCATACTAGTTCCATACTATATCCCATACTATTTTCCTATACTAAACCATACTTCTATTCCCATACTAGTTTCCCACACTAGTTTCCCATACTATATTCCCATACTATTTCCTGTACTATTTCCCTATACTGTATGGTGAGTGGGGTTGATATTCTGCAGACCATTTGCTTTCCCATTATTCTCATATTGGGGTTTAATATTCCCTGTAACTTAATTTTTTTGCTCTTATTTTCAACATGGCGGACTCTGGGATTTCTTATTTTACTTTGGGAAGGAAAAAAAATTACTATTATTGCTGATATAACACAAAACCTACGCAATAATGAGGGTTTTATTTATTATTATTATTATTTTTTTTTTTACCAAGGGGGAGAAACTACGCCATATTATTGATATTAGTGAAGACAAGTAGTGGTCCCCAGTTAAAAAAATAGCGAAATGATATTGTTTTATTATTTTAAGTTAATTTTATAGGTTCAAATGTATGGGAGAGAGAGAGAGAGAGTCAGTCACACATTGAAACGAGACATAATGACCCACATGTGTTCTCGTCGTCACAACAGTATCGCCTCACCTCCTGGGCTGGCTACATGTTACTCTGTCATGTCCGTGATAGCAACTCTCGTTCTGACTAAAGTTGATCAGTTTAATGGGCTGTATATGTCAAGGTGGGCTGTCTACGTACGTGTCTCTAATATCTGGTTAATTGACTTGGGTGTATATTTTTCACTTTTCACCTTGGTATTGCATTGATTTTACCTTGATTTTACCTGAGCTACCTTGATATTACCTGGAGTTCCCTTGTTATTACCTGAGCTTACCTTGATATTACCTGGGCTTACCTTTGATATTACCTGGAGTCCTTGATATTACCTGGGGTACTTTGATATTACCTGATTCTTGATATTACGGTGGTCATCCAGACAGACAGGATGCTTTGTGTATGTCTGTCGGTGACCTTAACCCTCCTCCTCCCCCACCACCAGCAGATAGTTCAGGTTTATGATCATGACTCTCGTATGTCAGGTTGTCGCGTTAAAATAATTATCTAGATATTTCTTGTCCTCTGCAGCATGTGTGTGTGTGTGTGTGTGTGTGTGTGTGTTACTTTGTTGAAGAGTTTATTATTATTAGTCTATCTTACTTTTGCTTTCCCACACGGCTTTAATAATAATAATAATAATAATAATAATAATAATAATAAATACTGTAATGACTAAAACTTAACGTATCGGCGTCAGGTGGTGTTGTGTACAATATTCCGGACGTTTGATCGATCTCTTGCCAGCGTTATTGAATCGCCAATTTATTACACGTGATATATATTAATACTGGCAATATATACAGTCGCCTTTCACTTAGACCTGGTACAGTGGCTGGTGCGTTTTGGTGAAATGTGGCACCTCTATTTGTTTTACAGCGTATTAATCAATCATAAGGACTGAAGTACTCTCCCAAAACACCACTGAGAAAGTCATTACACCAAGCACTAATAATTCTCTATACTTACTCATTATTCTCTATATCAAGTGACTCGTAAAACATCAACAAGAACAATCATCCAATCAGGTATTTTTTTCTCCTTCCCAAACGCAATTTACTATTTTCTATATCCACGTCAAACAACCATTCTTCAGTAAACAGCCCTGTAAACACTCCATCAAACAAGTAAACACTGAATATAATTGCCGCTGTGTTTAGAATATTGTAATACTTATTTGGTCAATGTGTGTGTGTGTGTGTGTGTGTGTGTGTGTGTGTGTGTGTGTGTGTGTGTGTGTGTGTGTGTGTGATGGAGGAAGAATGTTTTTGTTCACTACCATCTCACCTTAACTACTACCTGCCCTGCCTAACCCTGACCACAACCAACCCTGCCCCGCCTCTCCCTGCCCCGCCTCACCCTGCCCCGCCTCACCCTGCCCAACCCTGCCCTGCCTCACGCTTTGGTAATCGAATGCAAATATATTCTGCTGAACAAGGCAATTCCGAGATGCTTGATTGTCCAGATAACGCTGGCGTAATCCTCACTAGATGTAATCATGTTTGGTGTGTGGATGTGTGGATGACTGTTTGGATGTGAGTGATTGTCAGCATGTGAGGATGATTTTATAGTTGGATCTGTGGATGATTGTGCGGATGTGTTGGATGATTGTCTGGATGTGTTGGATGATTGTCTGGATGTGGATGACTGGATGTGTAGATGATTGTTTGGATGAGTGTATAGATGTTTGGATGAGTGTCTATGTGGATAACTGATATGTGGATGACGGTGTTTGGATGTTTGAGCCAATAGACTTGGCAAGAATAATCACACACACACACACACACACACACACACACACACAGGAGAGGGGATATATCACCTGTAATTAGTAATGCTCAGGTACTAAAGGGGGTAATTGGTACCTGCTCGATAGGTGGGTTAGGTTAGAACAGTCTAGGTTAGATTATAGTCCCTTAAACCACTATGCTCCCACATAAAACAACAACTGGGATAATATATAAACCTGCTACAGTACATTAAACCATGAGCCTTCTTATACCATCCTAAACCTCGTCTTGTATTCATTGACTTCCTGGTCCATCTTGAATTCCTGCTCGATTTTGTCTCCCTGGTCGATCTTAACTCTGGTGGTCGATCTTGACTTCTGGTCGATCTTTACTCCCTGGTTGATCTTGACTCTGGTCGATCTTAACTCCCTGGTGGTCGATCTTGACTTCTGGTCGATCTTTACTCCCTGGTTGATCTTGACTCCTGGTCGATCTTAACCCTGGTGGCGATCTTGACTCCTGGTCGATCTTTAACTCCTGGTTGATCTTACTCCCTGGTCGATCTTGGACTCCTGGTTGATCATGACTCCTGGTTGATCTTGGACTCTGGTCGATCTTACCCTGGTTGATCATGACTCCTGGTTGACTTGACTCTGGTTGATCTTGACCCTGGTTGATCTGACTCTGGTTGATCTTGACTCCTGGTTGATCATGACTCCTGGTCGATCTTAGCTGCCTGGTTGATCTTGACTGGTCGATCTTAACTCCCTGGTGGTCGATCTTGACTCTGGTCGATCTTTACCCCTGGTTGATCATGACTCCTGGTCGATCTTGACTCCTGGTCGATCTTGAGTCCTGGTCGATCTTGACTCCTGGTCGATCTTTACTCCTGGTCGATCTTGACTCCTGGTTGATCATGACTCTGGTCGATCTGACTCCCTGGTCGATCTTGACTCCTGGTCGATCTTGACCCTGGTCGATCTTTACTCCCAGTTGATCATGACCTCTCGATCTTGACTTTGGTCGATCTGACTCCGTCGATCTTGACTCCTGGTCGATCTTGACTCTGGTCGATCTTTACCCCTGGTTGATCTTTACCCTGGTTGATCATGACCCTGGTCGATCTTGACTCCTTGGTCGATCTTTACCCCTGGTTGATCATGACCCTGGTCGATCTTGACTCCTGGTTGATCTTGACTCCTGGTCGATCTTTACTCCCCGGGTTGATCATGACTCCTGGTCGATCTTTACCCCATGTTGATCTGACTTCTCGATCTTAACTCCTGGTCGATCTTGACTCTGGTCGATCTTGACTCTGGCTGATCATGAGCTTGGTCGATCTTTACTCCTGGTCGATCTTTAATTCCTGGTGATTTTGACCCTGGTCGATCTTTCATTCTGGTTTGACTCCTGGTCGATCTTTACCCCATGGATCATGACTCTGGTCGATTTTGACTCCTGGTCGATCTTTACTCCTGGTCGATCTTTACTCCTGGTTGATCTTTACCCTGGTCATCTTTACCCCTGGTTTATCATGACTTCGTCGATCTTGACTCTGGTCGATCTTGACTCTGTCGATTCTTGACCTTGGTTGATCTTGACTCCTGGTTGATCATGATTCTGGCTGATCACTGTCGATTTTTGACTTGGTCGATCTTTACTCCTGGTCGATCTTTACCCCTGCTGATCTTTACTCCGGTTGATCTTTACCCCTGGTTGATCTGGCGACTCTGGTCGATCTTTGACTCTGGTCGATCTTGACTCCTGGTCGATCTTTTGACTCCCTGGTCGATCTTTACCCTGGTTGATCTTGACTCTGGTCGATCTTTACCCTGGTTCATCTGACCTCGTCGATCTTGACTCCTGATCTTGATCCTGGTCGATCTTATTTCTTGGTTGATCTCTACTCCCTGGTTGATCATGACTCCTGGTCGATTTTGACCCTGGTCGATCTTTACTCCTGGTCGATCTTTACCCCTGGTTGATCTTTACCCTGGTTGATCTTTACTCCTGGTTGATCTTGACTCCCTGGTCGATCTTGACTCCTGGTCGATCTTGACTCCTGGTTGATCTTGACTCCTGGTTGATCTTGACTCCTGGTTGATCTTGACTCTGGTCGATCTGACTCCCTGGTCGATCTTAACTCCCTGGTCGATCTTGACCTGGCTGATCTTGACTCTGGTCGATCTTAACTCCCCCCCACGGCTCACTTTTTGCTGGTCGTTGACTCATGTCTGGTTGACTCCTGTTGATTTACCCTGTCTCCCCGGTATCTTCCCGTTGGCTCTTATACCATCTTGACCCCGTCTTGATCTTGACTCCTGGTCGATCTTGACTTCCTGCCCATCTTGACTCCTGGTCGATCTTTACTCTGGGTCGATCTACCTGGTCGATCTTTACTCCCTGGTTGATCTTGACCCTGGTCGATCTTGACCCCAGGTCGATCTTGACTCTGGTCTGATCTTCTCTCTGGTCGATCTTGACTCTGGTCGATCTTGACCTCTGTGGTCGATCTTGACTTGGTCGATTCTTACTCCCTGGTTGATCTTGTACCCCTGGTCGATCTTGACTCCTGGTTGATCTTGACTCCTGCTGGATCTGACTCCTGGTCGATCTTTACTCCCCTGGTTGATCTTGACTTGCCGATCTTGACTCCGCTGATCTTGACTCTGGTCGATCTGACTCTGGTTGATCTTGACTGGTTGATCTTGACTCTGGTCGATCTTTGCTCCTGGTGATCTTGACTCTCTGGTCGATCTTGACTCCTGGTCGATCTTGACTCCTGGTCGATCTTTACCCCTGGTTGATCTTGACTCTGGTCGATCTTGACTCCTGGTCGATCTTGACTCTGGGTCGATCTTGACCTGGTCGATCTTGACTTCTGGCCGATCTGACTTCTGGGTTGATCTTGACTCTTCGATCTTGACTTGGGTCGATCTTGACTTCTTGGTCGATCTTGACCTTGGTCGATCTTTACTCCCGGTTGATCTGACTCTGGTCGATCTTGACTCCCTGGTCGATCTTGACTCCCTGGTCGATCTTGACTTGGTCGATCTTGACTCCTGGTCGATCTTTACTCCCTGGCTGATCTTGACTCCCGGTGGATCTTGACTCTGGTCGATCTTGACTTTCGATCTTGGCTGCCACTCTGGTCGATCTTGACTCTGGTTGATCTTGACCTGGCCGATCTTGACTCTGGGCTGACTGCTACTCTGGCGATCTTACTCCCCATGCCGATCTTGACCCTGTCGATCTTAACCCCTGGTCGATCTTGACTCTTACCATCTTGACCATTTGACTTGACTCTGTCGATCTTTGACCTCAATGGATCTTGACTCCTGATTTTGACTTGGGTCGATCTTTACTCCTGGTCGATCTTGACTCTTGGTCGATCTTTACTCCTGGTGATCTGACTCCGGTCGATTTTTGACTCCTGGTCGATCTTTACTCCCTGGCTGATCTTTACCCTGGTTGATCTTTACCCTGGTCGATCTTTACTCCCTGGTTTATCATGACTCTGGTCGATCTTGACTCTGGTCGATCTTGACTCCCTGGCGATCTTGACTCCTTGGTTGATCTTGACTCCTGGCTGATCATGACTCCGGTTGATCATGACTGGTCGATTTTGACTCTTGGTCGATCTTTACTCTGGTCGATCTTTACTCCTGGTCGATCTACTCTGGCTGATCTTTACTCTGGCTGATCATGACTCTGGGTCGATCTTGACTTCTGGTCGATCTTGACTCTGGTCGATCTTGACTTGGTCGATCTTTCATTCTGGTTGATCTTGATCCTTGGCGATCTTTACCCTGGTTGATCTTGATTCTGGTCGATCTTGACTCGGTCGATCTTGACTCCTGGTCGATCTTGACTCCCTGGTTGATCTTGACTCCGGTTGATCTTGACTCTGGTGATCTTGACTCCTGGTTGATCTTGACCCTGGTCGATCTTTTACTCCTGGTCGATCTTTACCCTGGTTGATCTTTACTCCTGGTGATCTTTACTCCTGGTTATCTGACTCTGGTCGACTTGACCTGGTCGATCTTGACTCCTGGTCGATCTTGACTCTGGTTATCTTGACTCCTGGTTGATCATGACTCCTGGTCGATCTTGACCCCTGGTCGATCTTAACCTCTGGTCGATCTTGACCTGGTTGATCTTGACTCTGGTCGATCTTGACTCCAGTGATCTTGACTCTGGTTGATCACTCTGGTTGATCTTGACTCCGGTCGATCTTGACTTGATCTTTACTCCTGGTTGATCTTTACTCCTGGTTGATCTTGACTCCTGGTTGATCTTGACTCCGGTTGATCTTGACTCCCCGGTCGATCTTGACTCTGCCCATCTTGACTCCTGGTCGATCTTTACTCCTGGTGATCTTGACTCCTGGTCGATCTTAACTCCTGGTTGATCTTGACTCCTGTTGATCATGACTCCTGGTCATCTTAGCTGCCTGGTTGATCTTGACTCCTGGTCGATCTTAACTCCTGGTGGTCGATCTTGACTCCTGGTCGATCTTGGCTCCTGGTGGTCAATCTTGACTACCTGGTGGTCGATCTTGACCCTGGTGGTATCTTGACTCCTGGTGGTCGTCTTGACTCCTGGTCGTCTTACTCCTGGTGGTCGACTCCTGGTCGATCTTCTCTGGTGGTCGTCTTAACTCCTGGTGGTCGATCTTGACTCCCTGGTGGTGATCCTGACTCCTGGTCGATCTTACTCCTGGTGGTTGATCTTGCTCCTTCGATCTTTACTCCTGGTCGATCTTTTACTCCCTGGTTGATCTTTACTCCTGGTCGATCTTTGCTCCTGGTTTATCACGACTCCTGGTCGATCTTGGCTCCTGGTCATCTGGCTCCTGGTCGATCTTGACTCCCTGGTTGATCTGGCTCCTGGTTGTCGTGACTCCTGGTTGATCATGACTCTGGTCGATCTTTACTCCTGGTCGATCTTTACTCCTGGTTGATCTTTGCTCCTGGTTGATCTTTGCTCCTGGTTGATCACGGCTCCTGGTCGATCTTGACTCCTGGTCGTCTTGACTCCTGGTCGATCTTGGACTCCTGGTTGATCTTGACTCCTGATTGATCGGCTCCTGGTCGATCTTGACTCCTGGTCGATCTTACTCCTGGGTCGATCTTGACTCTGGTCGTCTTTACTCTGGTTGATCTTGGCTCCTGGTCGATCTTAACTCCTGGTTGATCTTGACTCCTGGTTGATCTTGACTCCCCGGTCGATCTTGACTCCCCGGTCGATCTTGGCTCCTGGTCGATCTTTACTCCCTGGTTGATCTTGCTCCTGGTCGATCTTCTCCTGGTTGATCTTGACTCCTGGTTGATCATGACTCCTGGTCGATCTTAGCTGCCTGGTTGATCTTGACTCCTGGTCGATCTTAACTCCTGGTGGTCGATCTTGACTCTGGTCGATCTTAGCTCCTGGTGGTCAATCTTGACTACCTGGTGGTCGATCTTGACTCCTGGTGGTCGATCTTGACTCCTGGTGGTCGTCTTGACTACCTGGTCGATCTTAACTCTGGTGGTCGATCTTGACTCCTGGTCGATCTTCCTGGTGGTCGTCTTACTCCCGTGGTCGATCTTGACTCCTGGTGGTCGATCTTGACTCCTGGTCGATCTTAACTCCCTGGTGGTTGATCTTGACTCCTGGTCGATCTTTACTCCTGGTCGATCTTTACTCCTGGTTGATCTTTACTCCTGGTCGATCTTTACTCCTGGTTTCTCGACTCCTGGTCGATCTTGACTCTGGTCGATCTTGGCTCCTGGTCGTCTTGACTCCCTGGTTGATCTTGACTCCTGGTTGATCTGACTCTCTGGTTGATCATGACTCCTGGTCGATTTTGACTCCTGGTCGATCTTTACTCCTGGTCGATCTTTACTCCTGGTTGATCTTTACTCTGGTTGATCTTTACTCCTGGTTGATCAGCTCCCTGGTCGATCTTGACTCTGGTCGATCTTGACTCCTGGTCGATCTTGGCTCCTGGTTGATCTTGACTCTGATTGATCATGACTCCTGGTCGATCTTGACTCCTGGTCGATCTTAACTCCTGGTCGATCTTGACTCTGGTTGATCTTGACTCTGGTCGATCTTGACTCCTAGTTGATCTTGACTCCTGGTTGATCACTTGACTCCTGGTTGATCTTGACTCCTGGTCGATCTTGACTCTCCCTGGTCGATCTTTACTCCCTGGTTGATCTTTACTCCTGATTGATCTTGACCTCCTGGTTGATCTTGACTCCTGGTTGATCGGCTCTGGTTGATCTTGTCCCTGGTTGATCTTGACTCTGGTTGATCTTGACTCCTGGTTGATCTTTACTCCTGGTTGATCTTGACTCCTGGTCGATCTTGACTCTGGTCGATCTTGACTCCTGGTGATCTTGACTCCTGGTTGATCTTGACTCCTGGTCGATCTTGGCTCCTGGTCGATCTTTACTCCTGGTCGATCTGCTCCTGGTTGATCTTGACTCCTGGTCGATCTTAAGTCCTGGTTGATCTTGACTCCTGGTTGATCATGACTCTGGTCGATCTTAGCTGCCTGGTTGATCTTGACTCCTGGTCGATCTTAACTCCTGGTGGTCGATCTGACTCCTGGTCGATCTTGGCTCCTGGTGGTCAATCTTGGCTACCTGGTGGTCGATCTTGACTCCTGGTGGTCGATCTTGACTCCTGGTGGTCGATCTTGCTCCCTGGTCGATCTTGACTCCTGGTGGTCGTCTTGGCTCCTGGTGGTCAGTCTTGACTCCTGGTGGTCGTCTTGACTCCTGGTGGTCGATCTTGACTCACTGGTGGTGATCTTGACTCCCTGGTGGTCGATCTTGACTCCTGGTGGTCGATCTTGACTCCTGGTGGTCGATCTTAACTCCTGGTGGTCGATCTTGACTCCTGGTGGTCGATCTTGACTCCTGGTCGATCTTAACTCCTGGTGGTTGATCTTGACTCCTGGTGGTCGATCTTACCTGGTGGTCGATCTTGACTCCCTGGTGGTCGATCTTGACTCTGGTGGTCGATCTTGACTCCTGGTCGATCTTAACTCCTGGTGGTCGATCTTGGCTCCTGGTGGTCGATCTTAACTCCTGGTGGTCGATCTTGACTCCTGGTCGATCGTCTATGCTTGCAAATGGCCGGCTGCTGGGTGCAGCAGCAGGTGTCGTAAACGGGATGGTGTAACTTTCATCCATCTTCATTGAGTAAATTGAATAGACCATCAGAGATAATTAGTAGTCAGGCCTCCCCAATCAGGTAGAGAAAACTATACAGACCCCCTCTCTTCCTCCTCTCTACCTCGACCCTCCTCCACCTCTACCCACCTGGTGACAATACCCTCTCCTCCCACAACCTACCTTCCGGCCTACCCGTTCCCCACTACCCCACAGAGCAATTTGGCCCTTGGAAAATGGGCCAACCATTTTCTCAACGAATCGTGTACGAAATGAGAGAAAAAAAAGACCCACACACACCACACACACACACACACACACACACACACACACACATTATTCTGGCAATGTGTTCTAGATTGACTTTCCTATTTGTACACAAGTTCAAAGTTGACTGTACCTGAACCTCTCTTGGCAGTAGTTCCCGACATTTAGATCACCACTGTTACTATTTTTTTTTATAGTAATGACCAAAGTTTTATAATATTGAACAATATTCGAAATATATAGACACATAATAAAAATAAATCATTGGAATAAAAGTAGAGTTGTTTTACAAGAGGATAAAATCTTCTGTTGTTTTAGTGACCAGCCGGTTTTTTGGGGGCTTTTTTTTTTTTTTTTTTTTTAAGTAAAATGAGTTCATCAACAATATCTTTCGAATATTTGCTCACGAGTTTGGCAAAAGTAGAAATTGGTTTTATAAAGTTTTCCTCCGATTGCATATTAATTATTTTCAATTTGCATTTTTTTTTACCAGTTTACCTTCCTTCCTCCTCCCTCCAGGTCAAAAGAGCCATAAACGTGATGGTGCTTAATGCATGTGGCTTCTAG